ACAAAGAACAGCTTCCCTGATAAGACCTGCAACCTCCTCTCGCCCTGGCTTCACCTCCTAGCCCCATTGCTCTCTGACCCCCAGGTACTCTGACCTTCTTCCAGCTGCTCCAACCACAGGGCTGGTGCCATACTTCTTACTTCTAGAAGAATCTTCTCTCTCTTAATCAATTTCTTCTCTTCCTTAAGAGCTCAACTCGATTGTCACATCCTCCTTAAAGCCTCTCCTGATTTCTCTGTGTTGTACTCCCTGTCCCTCTTTTCATGGTGATTCATAATTACCCTACAACAGTCAGTCTCCCCTGTTAGGCAGTGACATCAGCAGCCGTGTATGTGTGCCCACCCGGCATTGCTGGCACAGGGTAGAATTGGCACTTACTAAGGATGTGTTGAATAAGATCAAATAATGAATGAATGTAGGATGAATACACAGTGAAAGGAAAGAGAATGATCTCAGAGACTGACAGGCGTGGGCTCAAAACCAGAAACAACACGCTGGACCTTGGGTGAAGACCAAATAGCCCGAGGCCCACATCCAGCTGGAAATGTGTTTCAGTTGGCTGGCACTGTGATTTCCTTAATTTCTTGGAAATAATTTAAAATCAGAAGAATTGAATAGTTTAAAAAAAAATCCCAATTCCCAGCTTCCCTTGACCTCTTAGGAACTCCAATGATACTGAACCTGCATCTCTCACAGTGGCATTGGCCCCTAAGGCATGGCCCTTCCTCCCTTAGATATGGCACAAGCTCCCTAGGGTTCCACAGTCTCTGCAGGACCTTGTACCTCTTGTATGTCGATGGACTGGGTTCTGCAAATGTTTGACTTTGCAATACTTGCCCTAAAGAGTAAGACTTTGAATGGCAGAGAAGCAAGGCTCAACTTAGAACGAGGAACCACTACAACCAGGCTTCCACAGCCCACAGGTAGCATCCTGCATCTGGTGGCCACGTCCTGCTGATTCTACCTGCCCTGACTCAGGCCCTACCCTTGCTCACCTAGACCATGGCCAAGCCTTCTGGGCACTTTCCCTTCCTGCTCCCCCTCCCAGTTTTCAGTTCTTCTCACTGCCATCAGCATGATTTTCCCAAAGAGTGGCTTTGAGAGTTCATTGATTTGGCCAAGAAACATTTGATGAGAATCTACTGTGTGCCAAGGGCAGGAATAAAAATGTATTCTATTGTCTCTGCATTATAGATGTTTACGTCTAATGGGAAAGATGGGCAGTTAAGTAAATTCTATCATTTCCTCCTCAAAAATAGTAAGGCCTCCAAACTGCTAATATACAATACATCCCACCCTCACTAGCGTGACTTCTGGGGTCTTCCATGGATGGGCCCCAGCTGACCATTCCTGTCCTGCCCCTACCACAGTGCTATCCACTGTCCTCCAATATGCCAAAACCTCTCCCCACATCACAGTCTGCAGTCACCTGTCTCTCTAAACAGAAGGAAAGAATCTGAGAGAAGATGTTTGTCATCATCCACCTAGGGGTCCTTTATAGCACCTGGCCCATGGCAGGCTCTTGGAGGAATCTGTCAACTTGGAACAGGACAGAATGGTCTCTGACAGGCCAGACTCAAGAGGGCAGCATGGACACTACGCCCTGAATTTCTCCAGACTCAAGAGAGCAGTATGGACACCAGCTTCCTACTGACTCCTAGTCAAGACTAGGGTGTTCCAAGCGCCTGGGCCCTCAGGGTTAGATCGAGCTTCTTTCTATAACCTCCCCAAGCCTTGCCCACATCTCTCGGCAGACCCTCCACTGGGCATGCTCACTTGCAGTCCTCGCTCTCCAGCAGGCCCCGGTATGTGTTGATCTCGCCCTCCAGCCGGGCCCGCACGTCCAGCAGCATCTGGTACTCCTGGTTCTGCCGCTCCAAGTCACAGCGGATCTCCGCCAGCTGGGCCTCCACGTTGGTCACCATGCACTGCACCTGGGCCAGCTGGGAGCTGTAGCGGCCCTCTGTCTCCGCCAGCGTGTTTTCTAGAGAGTCCCTCTAAGGCAAAGGAGAGACACATCATGAAGAGGAAGCTGTCTTCCATGGCATAGTTCAGGGAGAACCAAGAAGAGCTAACTCTCTCTTTGATGTCGGGAATGAACTTGACAGGGTTCTGAAGCCTAGAAAGGTCAACTGACTTGTTCAAGGTTGAACAGCTGATGAGTGATGGAACCATGGTTTGAACCCAAGTATCTTAAATCCGTTCCTCCTTTTTCAAACTTCGTCTGGGTTTAAGCTTTGGATCTGAGCTTCCCCAAGTACCTCTCCTGTAGCTTCATTTAAAGCACTGGTTTTCAACCCCAGCTGCGCATTAGAGTGACATGAAGCCCTAAAAAAACACTCACAACCAGGCTCCACCTCCAGAGGCTCTGTTAAATTGCTTAAAGAGCAACCTGGGTATCAGGACTTTTAAAATCTCTATGGGTGACATTGAGAACCACAGGTTTGGAAGAGCAGGGTATGCAGAGTACATGCCTCCTTGGGAAGTCATGTTGACAGAGTCTATCTAACCCATGTCTGGTTTGAAACATGTCCCTTTTCTCTCTAAGCTGGACCTTGGCAGAAACCTCCCTGCTGGGAAGGTCAGCTGGGCAAGCATCCACAGTGGCTGCAGTCCAGGCCTCCTCTTCCTCCCGCCTGGATGCCTGCACCTGTGTTTGCAACTGCCTCAAATCCAGACGGTGAGGTGCCCACCCACCAGCACTCACCAGGCTGTGCTGGGCCTGTAGCTCGATCTCCAGCGTGTTGACTGTCCGTCTCAGATCAATTATGTCCGACTGGTAGCTCTGAAGCTGCTCGGAGCTTGTGGCCACCTGCTGGTTCAGCTCCTCCATCTACAGTGGGGGGAAAGAGAAGGCTGGGAATCCCTGACTGGGGACACTGAGGAGGCAGGCCCACCTGCGAGAGCCCACCTGCATGTTGAACCAATCCTCCACGTCCCTGCGGTTGGTCTCCACCATGGCCTCATACTGACATCGCATCTCCTCCAGCACCCTGGTCAGATCCACAGGGGGTGCGGCATCCACCTCAATGTTAAGGCGGTCCCCAAGCTGGCATCGGAGGGCACTGACTTCCTGAAAAGGCACAAGAGTCCCAGGCAAGTGTGAAAATCAGAGGATTCCCAGCTCATTTCCCCAGGGAGACATGAAAAGATGCGACAGAAGGCACTAAAGATCACAACTTTAGAGGGGTCTTTAAGGACTTCAGTTCTCCTGCTGGCATCTCAACAGTCTTCCAGCTCCACGTGGACACCCCACGATGGGAGGCTCCAACACCACACCCCCTGTCACTTTGACAGAAGCCAAGAGCAACATCAGGCTTTGTTTGATCCATCGGGGCTAAAATGGGAAACTCACACCCTCGGTCTTCCTAATCACCCTTCTGGGCTGTGTTCATCCCGGAAGGAGAGCACAGGAGGCTGGCTTGACTAGTTCAAGGGCCAAGTTGGAGTGCGCAGCCCCGAGGGTTGGTTGCCAAAGACAGAAAGTTGTCACTGAGGTCTCTAGGGTGTACGATAACTCCTCATTAGTGGCTTTTTGGTACAGTTCCCAGTTCTCTGATTTAAGTGGGGTGAGTCAGGCGCCCTAGGGTGCTCAGTGAGTACATGGTGACTGATTGTTACTTTGCACTTAAGCCCAAGGAAAGCCAGCCAGGATTCAGAGGCACTTGTTCATTCAAATCCCAAGTCAAAAGGTTGACAGTCAACCAGGGAAGGAAGAGAAACACCCCAAGACTGAGGTGGGCTTTGCAGCACCCAGATGCCCAGGATGGAGGTCTTTCCCTCCAAAGACCTGCAGGAGATGAGGACAAATCAACAAGTAGAGGGTTTGCCTGTGGCTTCACCTTAAGTATATTATATGCAAGCAGAAGAGAGGATGTGAAAGGAGGGTGAAGACAGAAAGAGAAGGAACCTCTGCAGTTCAGCTCACCCTCAAGGTGGGACTGCCTGTAGCAGTCTGTCCATTCTGGCAGAGACGGACAGGCCTTTTGACCTGAGTTCTGGAATATAACCCACCGGCTCCTGCTCTGCTGCCCTGCTCTACCTCTGATGTGGGCTTTCATTAGAAAGCAAATGCAGGGACCACGAGCGAGCCATTGGCCATCACACTAGTCCAGGAAGGGCAGAAGGGAAAGGAGCTACATTTCGGAGCGCCCACCAAGTGGCAGGTGTTTCTTATCCATACCCTGGATCAGGTCTGTGACCCACCTCACATCCATCAAATTCTCACAATAACCCTGCATGGTAGTGTTTCCCTGTTTTACAGGGAAGGAGACTCAGACAGCTTCCACAAATGGGTGAAGCGGGAGGCTTGGGAATTTCACCCACATCTGTCCAACTGCAAATATCACGTCCTTCTCCCTCTGCTGCCCAGGGCCACCACAGCATGACTTCCCGACTCACCTGCTCGTGGTTCTTCTTGAGACAGAGCAGCTCCTCCTTCAGGGACTCCACCTGGGCCTCCAGGTCAGCCTTGCACAAGGTCAGGTCATCCAGGATTCTGCGCAGACCACTGATGTCGGCCTCCACCAGCTGCCGCATGGCCAGCTCTGCCTCATACCTGCACGAGGACAGGGCCAGCAACAGAGGGGGGAAGTAAACACAGAACTCAGGGAAGGCCTTGGGCTGCTGGCTCCTTCCAACCCTCCGTGCAACTGATGGAAAGCGGCCTCAAGAGTGCACAGGGGCAGAGCCCCCCCTCCCAGTCCCCTGGCCAAGCTCACTTGGTCCTGAAGTCATCAGCAGCCAGCTTGGCATTATCAATATGCACAACCATCCTGGCGTTCTCTGCCTTGGTGCACAGAACCTGTGGGCCAAGGCATGCAGAGGGGGTTAGTCCAGAATGAGAAGGAAAAGGAACCCAAGTCGGGGGGAGACAGCAGCAAAGGTGGGGCTCAGCAGCCCACCCCACCCTTGAGGAAGCCCTTGGAACTCTGGGAGATATTAAGTGAACTGCTAGTCCCTAGAGAACTTGAAACTTATTTTTAAGCACCTGTGACTTCATAAATCCAAATTTCGCATTTTGTTAACACTGAGCAATGTGGAAGAAAAGAATGTCATTATATCTAAAGTCATTTATGTCACTATTAGAAGGGTCCTTGGCACCTTACTGAAAACTCATCAGGTACTGGGGCTTTGCAAACACTTTACCTGCACCTCATTGAATCCTCTGACAATCCCATTAGATAAGGACCTTTATTATCCCCCACTCTACAGATGAGGACACTGAGGCCTGGGGAAGGAAAGGGACCTCCCAAAGTCATGCAATCAAGCAATAGTAAAACTAAGACTCTTTCCACTTTAAGGGCTCTGGCTGAGTGCTCAAATTATAAGATAACCCTCTGCCCTAAGAAGATCTGTTTTCCCTGCATATAGCTTAATAAGCTAATGAGATTCAAATGCCATCTATTCCAGATGCCTTTCCGGGGGATCCGTTCACCCCACCGTTCACCCTCACCTTCTGCTGAAGCTCCTCGATGGTCCTGAAATAAGACTGGTAGTCAGGACACGTGGTGAGCACCTGGGTCTGGGAGGCCTCTTGGATCTTGCCCTCCAGCTCCGCATTCTCCTGCTCCAGCTGCCGCACCTTCTCCAAGTAGCTGGCCAGGCGTTCGTTCAGAAACTGCATGGTCTCCTTCTCGCTGCCACTGAAGGCCCCTTCACCGTACCAGCCACTGGGACCCATGAAGCTGAGGATGCCACTGGCTGGCCGGCAGCTGCTGGGCCAACAGGAGCTGGATAGGAAGGTCTTGGAGACACAACTGGCTGGCCGAAAGGTGGTGGGCACACAGGCAGAGGGCAGGCGTGCCACAGGCTGGCAGACATAGCCCAGGCACGGCTCAGGCCGGCAGCTCACACTGCCCAAGCAGACGGAGGAAGGCCGGGGATAGCTCTTGACTGAGGTTTGCAAGCTATTGGTGACACAGCAGGTGGAAGTCATGATGAGATGCTCTTCTCCTCAGCTGCAGCTACCTGGGTGTCTACAGACCCTTCCCTACATGGACCTTTTTATACCCTTGGAGCGAGGGGGCTCACACTGGAAAGTCATCGTGGGCTGGTGTTGACGTTACACTCAGCTGCAGAGGAAGCTGCTAATTAATTTGTAATTTGGTTTCCAATAAGGAGTTACTCTCCTCATAAAAGATACCAAACTTGTCATTTGACTAAAGCAGCACTCTGAGCTCCTGTTATTGACCACCAGGGGAGAGCTTCCAGAGACATCTTCAAAGCATCCGCCCCATGCTGGGGCCCTCATTATCAGGGCGGGGCTGCAGATGACTATGTCCTGGACCCAACAGCCATTGCCAGTGCCCACTGCACCCTGCCCCCTACGTCCCGAGAGAGCTGCAGGTCTGGGAGCAGCGCTGTTGTAATGAAAGCATTCCCTGTGGGAAGAGGCCTGACCCCTTCACAAGGAAACGTGTGGGTGACAGAAGCTGCTCCAATACTGGCAGCATCATCAATCCAGGGAGAAAGGAAAAGGAACCTCAGAGGCTTCCTCACAGGCACCACCTTCCTGCCAAGGGGAAGAAAAACTTCAGGAAGGAGAGAAGGAACTCAGGACACAGATCACTGTCTGGCCTTTTGGCTAAGATCAAGTGTAGTATCTGTTCTCATCAGTTTAGTATCTGATACATCCTCTATATCCTGTCCTACATCTGAGGATAATATATTAAATGGATTTTTGGAGTAGAGAGTTGGAATGGGAGCTTGCTTCATCCACGCCATGCATCGACCTGGTACTGTACCTCCAGGAATGGTGCACCCCTCCAAAAGAAAAATAAAAAGAAGAGAGAAAACCTAAGAAGCAGGATATCCTTCCAGCTGGACTCTCCTCTTGGAAAAGTAGATCAATATCACAAGCATTGCTGGTAGGTAGATGCTTGATCTTGACCGCCTCTGGATCCTCATATGATTATCACTGCGCCATCTACAGAGTTGTTGAGTGATTGTTGTTTGAACAGAATGAGATAGAACTGGTTGGAACAGGCTCTACTTTTGCTCTCTGTGGTGGCAGA